GAGTGTGTTTCCAAAGTCGTGTGTCAGGACGCCCGGTGTGGAGGATAGGTCCATACCGTGCTCGAACATCCACTCGGTGAGCACCTGGCCGTCGCCGTGTAGCCTAGTAGCCATTGGCTGCCAGTCGGTGTGAACGGTGTTGAAGTCTCCGCCAATAACTGTAGGCCCAGATGGAGCCCATGACAGCAGCGGCATAAGGTTTGCTCCAGGAGCGCGGTAGAGGGAGACAAATGTGACTCCTTCTGCCGTTACTGCGGTGACATCTGGTGATGTATCGCAGATTGCTTGCTGTTGGCACTTGATCCTGTCGGTATATCACGGGTATTAAATGTGCTAGCACAATAGGTTCTGAATTCCGAGGGGTTAGTTGTTCTTCTCTATTCTCTATCTAAGCTATCTAGTGAGTTACCCTATGTAGATGCCAAGGCGCTAGTGCAACCAATACGCGTATATGAGGGCCTACACTTCAGACCAATCAGAGGGATCCAAACACTACTGCTACTTAGTGGGTGATATGATTGTCTCTAAATAACCATATTTTCCGACAGATCCCTTTTCGCGTGTAGATGAGGGAGCGTGGCCTTGAAGAGTTAACAGCGACACAGGGAGGCAAATGCCTATCGAATCCGGGATGCGACTTGGTGAGCCAGAAGCCGTCCTTATGTTGGGTCCAGGGTTCCTGGATAAGTAGGACATCGGTTCCTGAATCCCAAGCGGGTTGCAGGATAATGTCCGTAGCGGGGTCTCCTCTGCCTAGATTAGCGCAGAGGAGCGACATTGTTGTTGCCATTTTTTGAAGCTCGGTTGGGTTGTGGTCCCTTACGGGCATTGAGCAACGTTTATATTTTCGTTTTCAGCAGTAGCCTCGGTGGCTTTCTGCTTTGCTTCCATCTCTCTGATCGAAGCATTCCTTTCTTTTTGACCCTGCTCGCGGATCACCGACAGCTGGTCCCTTGTGCGTAGCACCGTCTTCCCACCAGCCCGCGTCGGCCTAGCCATGCAGTTAGGCTCAGTTGCGGCGTATTGGAATATTATCGTGTAATTAATGATACTGTAATGATATGAATAATGAATCCCGATAATATTCGATTGATTGCTTGCTTGCTTATTATTGTTGTTACTTCTATCTGAATATAAAGATATCGCTATATCATATACAAGTCTCTTGTGTTAGCCTTTATCCTACATGACTACGCCAGTACTACTTGATCGTAAACTGAGACTCATTGACTCATTTACATCTCCCGTTGCCTACGTATCACTAGACCCTAGGTTCACAACTATGACACGATGATAAGTATATATGATACTCCTTGGCTGCGACTTCCTGACCCGGATGCTTCACCCAAGCATATTTGATTCTGCCTCGAACTCGTCATACGTGGTGGTTTGACGCCCCTGCCAAGATATCTATCATAGACCTTGTATCTGTCGTAAATAGAAATTTACAAGTCATGCTCACGATATTCACAACACGGCGTGTGGACCATGGCAATTGATGCACCTTGGCACGGCCTGTTTGCACTCAGTGGCTTTGTGCTCAATAGAGCCGCAGCGGGAGCAGCGCTCTGCTCGTGAACAGATCTTAGTTGGGTGGTGTCCCCAGCATCGGCTGCATTGCGCAATTTTGAGCTTGCGCTGAAGTTCGTGGAGGCGTCCACTTTCTTCGAACAGTCTTTCTCCAGGCCTCGGTTTTCCTGTTGCGAAGTGCAACACCCAGTCCGTTGACGGCCTGGCCATGCTAGTTGCGAAAGCACGAGTCGAGGTTGGTCTAACTCCTGTTTTGAGAGCTGCTTCTTCTATTACCATTTCTGGTGTCACTATGGTGGGCCCTTCCAGAGTCTAAAGCTTGTCTGGAATATTCGGTGCCAGGACTGATATCCAGTTGGAGGCGGCTTCCAATTTCATTTCTGAGCTAACTAATATGGCTCCTCGTGAGAGAAGTACACTTCTTGCACTTTCCCCTTCGGCTTGTATTGCGAACCCTGAGTTCACGACAGTGACCTGTTTGATTGTCGAGTTGGCCAGACGCAGCTTGCTGGCTAGGCTTAATTTAACGGTGTGGGGTGACATACGTCTCCACGGGTGGTCGGGTCTGAGGCGCAAGAATATGCGCTCGTAAGGTCGTTGGGGGTTTGTCGCTAGAGCTTTAGGCTTCGACGCGGAGACGGGCCTCATTGGCACTGTCTTGAGTGTTGAGGTTGGAGCCACTTGGTTTGCTGGCTTGTTTCTTTTTCCCAAAACCTCGGTCCAAGATTTCTCTGTGGCGTTGTTGTTGGTTATGTTTGAACCCTGGTTAGCCTGGAGAGTTGCTGTTGTGGCGAACGGCTTTGATGGTGCCGGTCTGTTCTTTTCTCTGGCAAGGATCAGCACTGGACGTGTGACGCTTGCAGGACTTTGTTTTGGAGGCTCTGTAACTTGAGCCGGATTAGATGAGTTAGTATGGCCACTTGCAGCCTTCGCAGGAGCGTAGGCGTCTGCTTGAGATGAGTTGCCCCACAGAATTTCCAAGATCTTGCCCTGAAGGGCCTGTAAGTCCTGATCAAAGAGTTTTCGAAGTCTCTCGTCAGTGACTGGTTCCAGCAGCTTGCAGAACCCGATGATAAAGCGCTCGGCTTGTGCAGAGCGCGTCTGGAATATCTTGCCCTGTTCGGCGAGGAATTCGGTCGCGACAATTTGAGGCGACGGAGTTGGGAAGTTGGGTGAGTTTGGATGACTCGCCTCGTAGATTGGCTCTACAACTTGTTGTGTGATGGTTGTGATGGCGGTTGTGGCCCGTTTGGGACAATTTCGACGTCAGGACGCGTCGAATTTACGATGGGAGGGGGACCAAGGGCCAGCCTCTGCGGAGGACTGGGGCGGCATGAGTGATTGAGAGATATATGTGGCGAAATGTCGTGGGTGACATGCGATGATTCAAGAGCGCGTTGAAATACACTGACAGTGTGTTGTACCCCTTGCTTGCATAACTAGTCGAGTAACTAGATATGGGCCTACATGAAGACCATACCAATTAAGGCAATATGTACAGGGATCTAACCCCAATCATTTTGACAATTTTACGATTTCGACCCATAAGAGACTGTACAACGATAAGGACTCTGGGCTTCTTTAGGATTTATTTTACGGCCCCAAACTAGCCTTGGGATATGCCATGTGTATATTGTCCTGATGAGTCTAAAACTATGTAGGGACATGTAGGTCCTTTCTGCCTACAGGCCGGGAGTATCTATGCTTCGGGTAGTTTACTCCATCCTATGCCTCTTTCACGACTTCTTTCCAGCAGTAATACCCCCACAAGTCTTCATTCGAGTAAACACTAAAAGGAGCCGTAGTTCCATCATTATCTCCCCTCATCAGCCAACGAAACAATGGCCATTTGCGGGTGTGTAGCTGCTGGGAAAAGTCTCAAAAACCACTGGGTGCGAGGCTCTCCTATGACGAAGAAGCCAGGCAGCCGGGCGCAGCAGACCTGTGTATACCTAAGAGCGTCTCTCAACCTTCCTAGCCTCCTCCTTACTCCTCCTCTAATTCATGCCGCAGGACAAACCGAAGGTCGTGAAAGGATGTCAGAAAAGTCTTGGTCGAGAGTGACTGTCGTGAAGGAGCCTCGCCTAGCATCCAAAAGTAGTTACGGACGTGGGGTCGTCGGGTAACTCATGTATTTCAGATGCCCTCCTGGCTAGTAGATGCAGAAGTTGAGATTATTAGGGACGATATTGTGGACGAGACGAAATTTGCTTTCTTGAGGGTGGAAGGGTCTTTTACTTTGCTTTCGTGGGCCTTTTGTTTGTCCGCCGATGGGTAGCACATGTTGTGATAAAACGAGGGCTTCTCTGACTACCGTTGTAGCGTTTGGTACCGCATTATCATTCCTCATTCCCAGCATCATTATCTTTGTCCTGGTCGTCGTATGTGTTATCGGAAGCGTATCTTTGACGGAGGGGGAGATAACTCAGCTCAAAATTGATAAGGTGTTACTCAATCTCGGCTCTGCAGACTCTACAGTGAGAGCCGGAAGTTCGTAGGGGACACCACTGACAGGTATTGAGAATAGTCCCCCAACACATGGGTGAAGTCTGAGGTGGTCCGGTCATCTAGATGGGATGAGGTTTATCTGTACTTCACGGTAGTTAACCTGCTTCGGCTCGGTCCTACTAGTGCTTAGGATCCAGTTGGAGTGCAGCGGTGGTTACCTAAGCGAGCACGTTATTTATCAAAAAAAACAGGCAGAAGGGCGAGAACTCAAGATCAGTCAGCGGTGTCTCCTATTAATCGTTAGCTCCGAATGTAGAGTCTGTAGACTCATGTTGAACCCAAAACTATCTGAGAGGTCTTTATTATTAATGGCGATATGGCACGTCTCAGCACCCGAAACGTCACGAAGTTGTTGAGCAAAGCTACTACTAAAATACGTCAAGAATATTCCGACATTTCCACCCGACCTCGATAAGAGTTAAAAGGAGGCTATCGAGGGAGGGAGTGATATTCCAAAGTACACATAGGTCTGCTGTACCTGGCATATTGGTCTATCGGCCCGGTTTATATGGATAGTTATATCTTCGGGTGTAGTACTAATGTCGATGTTGTGGGAGCTTTGCACTTTGTGATTATTCGTATTTTTTCCGGCTGCTACACACCTGCAAATAACTTTCCATTCCTCAATTAGAGAGGAAAGATAATGAAGGGATAACGAACCATAAAAGTGCATGACGGAATGAAGACATTTGTGAAGTAGTAGTGTTGAAAGAGACTGTGATTGAGTAATAGGAGAGGATACACTACTAGAGGCGTAGGTATTCTCTTCTTGTGGGTTGTGAGACCCTATATGTCTCATGCCTTGAATAGAGAATAGACCAATCTAACAGTTAACGACAGGGAGTAATCTTGGGACAAAACGCCATACAATATTTGGCAAGGCTGAAATTTGACAAATTTTTAGCAAGGCTGCTGTGCAGTATTGAAAAAATCATTTCATCTCACATCTCATAAACCAGCAAGTGTACAACTGCCACCGTCATGCACAATCTGGTGGAGCCCAATTCTTGGATATTCTTGCGATTGGCATCGTCTATGTGCAAGGTTGTACAAGCCGTTCCTAACACGTGAGCGCCTCACTTTGCGTCTTCCCTCTTTGATGTCTGACGTGAGGTAGTACTGTAACCCTTCCCAAATATGGATCCTTTCCAGCGAATCTCCTTTTGTCTAGGCCGTACTACCTCACATATGAGTTGTTGGATCGGGAATCATCTGAAAAATATTCTTTGCTACGTGTAGTTCCAGCCTCAGAAATACACGCCGACACCATTGCTGAGGAAGATGGAGCCTTAGAACAGGCTAACCTTAAAGATGGAGTTCAATATGCAGCTGGAGATCTAAATGGAGAAGTCCCAATGCGGTCAAATCGGAACATTATCGATTCTGGATCTCGGCAAACCCTTAGTATGGCAGAAATTGAGGAGCTGAAAAAAGAAGGGACTGGTGCTGGAAAAGACTTAATCGAAAAACTAATGGCGAGTCACATAGGCATTGAACAAAAAACCTTATTTAGCTTGGCCAAGTATAAATTAACGAAAACAAAAAAATATCTCAAGAGATTTACCGTATTACCGCTTGACGTACCATCGTTAACACGATGGCTGATGGAGCAGAGGGACGCCTCAAAAATATTGGAGATGCGCGAGGAGATGTTGGCTTTGATAGGAAGCTGGGCTAATGTACACTATTCATCTCTGGCTCCCTCTTCTGGTCTCCAAGGGTTCGAGACAAATCCACTAACTGGCCGCTGGCTTGTTGTAGACGAAACGGGGGGTCTCTTAACGTCCTCGATTGCCGAGAGGATGGGAATATTATACCCTGAGCCTCACTCAGTCTTTCCTGTCACCAGCAAACTAGCTCCGCTATCCGACTATGATGCGGAGATACCTTTCGCCACATCTAACACTATAACTTTGGTCCATAACAACGCTCAACCAAACCTAAGTCTCATGAAGTATTTCTCCTATATCCCTGACAGCCCAATGATAACAGATGGCAAATCGAGATTCCCACATCCTCTGTCAACGCATCTCCTACCCATAAACTGGCTACAGCTACTCAAGCCTCATCAAGATACTACCTACGCCACAACTTTTCCTCAAATGACCGCTGACGAACTGAACAATATGAAAAGCAGCAAAAGGGGTAACTACTATCGCAAGCAGCGGAGATGGGCACGTGCGCGATACATTGTGTCACAGACATTACATGGAGACTTTGATGGCTTAGTCGTAGCCTCTCATATGGATCCAATTAGTGTCCTTAGACCTTTGTTACCTTTACTGAGAGGAGGTGCTCCGGTATGCGTCTACAGTCCATATATTGAACCATTGACCACTTTGGCCGACGTATTTAGTACGAGCCGGCGAACCGCTTTCATACAAAGCCCTCCCCAAGACTTTGCATGTCTTGAGTCGTCCATCTCTCAATCGCCATCAGTAATGAGAGATATATCTCTTAATAACTCGCACTTTATCCATCCTCTAGAACTGGTAAGTAAAGAGGCCTCGACTCCTGAAAAGGAAAACAACACTATTAAAGATATGTCAACGAAAACACTCACCAAAGCTACATGGCCCGGATCCGAAGATTTCCCCCTCAATCCTACCCTACTTCTGAACGCTACTGTCCATTCTGCGCAAATACGCGAGTGGCAGGTACTACCTGGACGAACGCACCCTTTGATGACTGGACGCGGTGGAGCAGGGGGATATATATTCACTGCTACTAAGGTCTTACCAGCCGAGGGACGCGTCGAGGCTAGAGGCAAATTCGGAAGGAAAAGGGGCGGCGAGAATGATTGTAAAGATGATGAACAAAAAAAGGCCAAGAAAGAAGGTGAGTTATTGATGAAAATCGACTCTACGGAGTAGTAAATTTTAAATTGAGTCAGACCCCATTATCAATGATGATTAGCAGGCATTGCCGAATATTGGGTTCCAGATAAACTTAATTTACCGAATACTCATTTAACATAGAATGTTCCGAGATATAATTACACTAATCTAGGGCGAGCTAGCATTTATTAACTTCGTGAAATGAAATATCTTAAGCAATATGGAGTCAACAAAAACCTAGACAGCAGCGTACAGAAAAGTTGTCGCCGTTTCGGTTTGAAGTCATCTGAGATTCATTCAGGCTTAATCTAACTGTCAAGAAATAGTTATGGGCGTCCAAAGTAGTTTAAGATACTTAAACAGCTTGACTGAAAAAAATTTGTATAATAATTTGCCATGCAGTTAACATTCTCCGCGCTCCTTTAGGAGCTTAACTAGGAGTGAGACTGGCATGAATTAGGTTAACCACCATTAATCACATAATCTTCGTCTCATCTGCAAAACAGATAGTCTATCCATGCATTGCTCTCTCCCTTTGACCTCCCGTTTTAATCTCCGTGATCATTCTACCTATCACCTCTTGGAAACTTGAGAAGCTGTCCATCTCTATGGCCTCAACCCGCAGCTGCCGTGCCTTTATTCGTGCGGATCAAAGACGTGAGTAGGGGCCTAAGGCCGGAGCACCTATGTCCCAGTCTTTGTCGAACTCTCGAGTTAATACTCTGGTGACTCGTCGTGGGTCAAGTTTGTGGTGCTCTTGACCGAGGTGTAGTTGCATTCATGAGCAGTACCTTGACCAAAAGTATAAGTGTTTGCGACCTTATTGTCATGCTTGATTCATAGACTATCTAACATATTGGGCTACTCTCTGACCAAAACCACACATTATGCCGTGCCCCTACCCTTTTTCGTTACTTAAAAATCGCACTCTCTATTCCATGTACGTCTGCATATTCTTTTCCGTCTTATTTTTTTAACTCCCATCAGTCTCTAGCACAAGACCAAAGCTTTGGGTATACATTAGATGACTCTATGATGTTTAGAGACGTTCATACTCTAGATTCCACTTGCAAAACAACTGGAAAGTATGTTTGCTTACACGATATAGTCGAACCTCGCTCATGAATGCCTGCCAAAGAGAGATTAGAGCTTTTTGGTTATTTATGTACGCTAGTACTGCGAGAAAAGTGGCCGGGTCCTGACGAGTTCAAGCCTGTGATTTCTTATCTCAAGTTGGATAGGCGTCCAAGCTATCAGACTCTACCTAGGGGGCCAACTGTTATGGTGTGAACTCTTTCAGTCAAGATAGATTATATAGAGACATACACAAGATGTGGTTGGCCGGTCAAAGAAGTATAAAATTTTTGCACATATCACAGACTGCTTTGGTAGGCTGGACGCAAACTAGTTCTCTGCTGGATGCAAGGACAGCTTTTGGAATAATTGCCAGTAATGATACGCTGGTGAAAGAGAGATCAGGATGAGTAATGCTGACCCACCACTAATTCAAATTTCCATTGTTCTTTTCATTGCTTCTTTACTGAACTACTTGTACAACGAGGGGGACTATTCTCAATACCTGTCAGTGGTGTCCCCTACGAACTTCCGGCTCTCACTGTAGAGTCTGCAGAGCCGAGATTGAGTAACACCTTATCAATTTTGAGCTGAGTTATCTCCCCCTCCGTCAAAGATACGCTTCCGATAACACATACGACGACCAGGACAAAGATAATGATGCTGGGAATGAGGAATGATAATGCGGTACCAAACGCTACAACGGTAGTCAGAGAAGCCCTCGTTTTATCACAACATGTGCTACCCATCGGCGGACAAACAAAAGGCCCACGAAAGCAAAGTAAAAGACCCTTCCACCCTCAAGAAAGCAAATTTCGTCTCGTCCACAATATCGTCCCTAATAATCTCAACTTCTGCATCTACTAGCCAGGAGGGCATCTGAAATACATGAGTTACCCGACGACCCCACGTCCGTAACTACTTTTGGATGCTAGGCGAGGCTCCTTCACGACAGTCACTCTCGACCAAGACTTTTCTGACATCCTTTCACGACCTTCGGTTTTTCCTGTGATATGAATCAGGGAAAGAGAAAGGAGGAGGCTAGGAAGGTTGAGAGACGCTCTTAGGTATACACAGGTCTGCTGCGCCCGGCTGCCTGGCTTCTTCGTCATAGGAGAGCCTCGCACCCAGTGGTTTTTGAGACTTTTCCCAGCAGCTACACACCCGCAAATGGCCATTGTTTCGTTGGCTGATGAGGGGAGATAATGATGGAACTACGGCTCCTTTTAGTGTTTACTCGAATGAAGACTTGTGGGGGTATTACTGCTGGAAAGAAGTCGTGAAAGAGGCATAGGATGGAGTAAACTACCCGAAGCATAGATACTCCCGGCCTGTAGGCAGAAAGGACCTACATGTCCCTACATAGTTTTAGACTCATCAGGACAATAAACACCTACTCACAGCCCTGATTATGGCCTCATGAATAATTGGAACAGTAGCCTGCAATATATCACAATTAGGCTAGGCATCGTTAATCAGGACCTAATCCGAATACTTTTCCCTTGCCTCTGAACTGGCTCAGCTCTTGCCCTTCCGCGGCCTGCCCATATATATACTGTCCCTCCTTAATCTTTGGAACCTGACGTGGTGTCGACATCATGATGTTCAGCGACACATACCGGCTTTCCGCATCGTACACAATTTTCTGCCGTCTTGTATCCAACCACTCAAAACCTTCAGTTTCCATTGTAAACATATAACCAGCAAATCCTGGGTTATCTCGAAAATATTTCTATAAATATCTTTTGATCCATCCCGCTTGGTTAGACTCACTGATTCGGCTGCACCGTTCACGTCCTAAAAAATTCTGCATGAACTCGTTGTAGTAGTTATTTTCAGTCGAAGTGAACTTGTTCGACTAGAGGTTCCTAACTGCAGTCTCTCAAGGGGACGGCGCTCCTTTTCAGACGTTGCTATGGTCGATATTTTTTCTACTGACTTATTATGAAAGTTCTGGGAGCAAATCTCCTTACTGATAGTGTTGACGAAAACCTGTTTCGTCATGATCTCTCCTTAGGTCCACTCAATGGCAGCTTCATCGTAAGATACAGACAACTGCTCGAAGCTATCCTTACTATCTACTGTCTCGATCGGCTCCACCAGGCAGATTGCTGGCTATATGAGATGTATGTTATGGAAGACATGCCCTTAGCTTCTCTGAATTAAAGCCGAATAGAGTTTCGCAATTCATTGCGAAATGCTGACACCCGAGCCGAGTACGAGACACTAATCGTTGGTCACTGACGAGTTGATTGCTTGAACTGTTAGCCTAGATTATTACGATGCCACTGGGCTCATAAGCTGCTAAGATAGTTATGAGTTTACGGGATATACCCATAATGCCATGCAATACTTCTCACAATATTAATGTCCCAGATATGTGTTATAATTCCTAAACTATCTAGAATATTCCATCCCATTAAAAATCTATGATACCCTAGTTGTGGGTTGCCTTCAAGTCCATGTCCCTGGACATGCATGACATACTATCATGCATAAATCTGCATAGAACGGGGATCTCTTGGCAGATCATGACATAGAGGGATATGTTGAGAGATGAAGACGATACAGACGGCGAAAGCGATTGGGAATCCTCATCGAAGTGAAGACTTTGTTACTCAATTTCGGCTCTGCAGACACTGCAGATTCTACAATCAGAACTGGAGAATCGTAGGGTACGTCACTGACATGTGTTAAGTCTTCGTACCCGTCAACCTTATGTTAATCCTAAGGAAAAAAAAAGATTACAAAGATATCCTTGGCTGGACAATGCAGTAAGTTTTCACACCACTACATTGCCTTTGCGGATATTTAATCACCACATAAAAATTAGTTGGAGAGGCAGTTGATGGTATTTCAGGTTATAAATCATGGAATCTTGTAGGCAATTGACATAATATAGCCCAAGGAGAATGAAATTACATGGAAAACAACTTAACGTGCGGTTATATGGAGTCATAGTGGGCAATGAATGTCTATTGAATAAAGTTAAGCTCCGATAGATTATGATATCCCGAGACTTGATCGTCACATGCATCCCTGATGCTATATGAGTGCATGATTTTCTATCCGAGGATAACGCATCAAAAGTGACAAGAGCTTGACTCTTGTGATCAATGTATTGGGTAGAGATTTATGAAAATACTAAAACTATTGGAAGATTGAGGTCATGATACCAGCTTACTGAGCAGCGTAAAAATAAGGTGATAAAACATATTGATATATCGACAAATATAATATTTGATTGTTTTCTGTAGCTTTGACGATTTCACAAGAATTATTGAAGCATGGACTTTCAATTGCCATGTAGTTTGGAGATAGGGTACCCTCAGTATTTCGTAAGATAATGAAATTGGTGCCAATAAAATTCACATTAATGAGCAGAATTAATGCTCCACTAGAACGCCAAGTAGATAACGTTAATCAGACGACACGACCTCGTTAGAAAAATCTAGGAGAATGGGATAAATTCATAAATTTTAACAGAACTCTACACATTTGTGCCTATGCAAATGCAAGAAATAGGACCGGTTCCATCAGATTAGCGCGGGTGTCTTTTTCACCTCTGTTGACCTGTTAAAGCACATTCATATTTAATCGGATCGCTGCTGCGGTAGTTGTGATAGATTATGGGTTCCAAGCCGGTTCTCGGCTACAATTTAAAAGTAGGCAATCCTTCCGATCAACGCTTGCGATGTTGTTCAGGTTCAACTTTGTACTTTATTATTTTATATGTCCTTAAAAGTTTTGTGATTTATAAGTTGTATATTCGCAGGATTATGCTGATATTAAGTTGTGTTCCGACCCTATTAATGTTATTGGGTCCTCAGATATCGGGGTTGGTTTGAATTCTTCTACTGGTACAACAGGAAAATCCTCAATATTCAGTGATGAAGCATTCTCTTTCTTTAGTGACGGTTCCGTCTTTGATGCGTTTGAGGCTATCTGTACCTGATTTGAGGGACGGCGACCACCTGAAATCATTCCTTGAGCCTTGATTGAATAGTCCTCCATGAATAGCATAGTTTGTTTGGTAGCACGGGCAGCTTGCTGGCTGGCAAGCACCTTAACCTGCTCTGTTTGCTTATTAATCACATCAGCGGTGCAGGCAAGGTGCTGATCAATCATCTCCTGATTTGAAACGTAAAACAAAGACCCAAGGAACAATGAGGAAGTTCCCAAGAGACAAAGAGCCCACAATGGAACAAATCTGACTAGGAAATATGAAAAAAGGGCTGCGACAAATGCCTGAGATTTTGTTAGAGTGAACTAACTATTAATCCCATAACTTACACCTATAGAAACGGGAAGGTTCTCGGCAAAGATAATTTGCTGGGCCTCAATGACGAAGAAGTTGATGAGCTCATGAAGATCGGCTATGATTAGGTTCAAGGTTTCTTTAGGAACAGTGTAGTATTTTTTGGGACGAATCTGTGACGTGAATCCGTGAGAGAGAAGTACTTTTCCTGAAACTTCGGCCATAATAGTTATGCCCAGAACGACATAGGTAATCTTGAATAGATAACGGACAAAGTTCAAATATCTTGCGGCGAAAATAAAGAATACTGAGGCGAGGTATGCTATACCAGATGCTCGAGGATTTTCCCATGAAAGAAGACTGTAAAAGAATGAGTGATAATGGGTGAGCGGCTGGCCAGTAGCTGCTTGAGTAGTAGGAGTGGTACGTGCGGCAGCTAGGTTGGAGAAATCAGCCTTAACCTTGTCACTTTGCTCTTTTACATTTATTGAGACGGATTCTATACAAGAATTAGCTGTATTATCTTGTCGAGGATTTCACACTTACTCTTGGTGATGCCACCACCGTTGGTGTTTGGCGCACTTGTAGAGTCTAGGTTATAGTATTAGTTGTGGGCATGCTGAATTCAATGTGAAAATCTGTTGTACGAGTCAGTGTAAGGTTTTAATGAATACCAACTATATATAGAGTATACCGACCTTACTATCATAGGCAGACATCTCTTCGAAATTAAATCCGCCTTGGGATTCTGTTTAGAATGATCTTTGCGTGGTTATCAGGGTATGGTTAATTGTGTACTCGAAGGCAGAGTTGGAAGATGTGGAGGCTTCAAGGGATCAGTTACTGAAGGCTGGGATAGAATGGTGAGGCGAATTTCTTAGAGATTAGTTGAATACGTCGAGCATTGTCAGGTTGTAACCTCGAATTTCTGTTGAAGAAAGTTATCACACGTGTTTGCAAATGAATTTATCCAGGAGCTTTTGCCTGATATGGAATAGTGCAAAAGCACGTGAGGATTTTCCCTGCTTTGTCGAGTATCATTGTGAATGACGACAGCATTGTAAAATAAGTATACACTGCAATAACCTAACCACTTAGACCCGGTCCTTTTGAAGAGGTTGAATTCTGTATCAAACAACATGTGTTGACTGATTCATCAATACTCAAAACACCGGCATACTCAATTAAGTTCGTGTCTTCCATGCATCAAACTTAACATCACCATCCTGGTTCGATGAAAAAATCGAGCTGTCGGGTCTAAAATCGAGGAATCGAACGTAAACTATGTGATATCTTGTATGAAGAGGAGTGATTCCAAATTTAAGGAATAATACCAGTAAAGTATTGTTACCTATTTTACCACCTACCTAAGCTCCGCTTCACTTCCACCCTTATCCAGAAGCTCAAGGTTCACCGTCGCGGGCCGTGCCCTATTTTATACGACCCGCAATCTTGGTTAAAGCCTTGACCAAGTCCCACTGCATCGGTGAGCATCTGTATACAATTACGTTAACTCGAATACAATGACGATGCACCTGTAATCGATGCCGCGACTTCAATCCGTTATCTTCGACTCCACAGAACATTCGATTATATTGACAACCAGCCAGTGACTGTGGGACATACTCTCTAATGCCCTCGACGGTGGTGGAGCCATAACTAGGGAATCAAATGTTCCTGTCGGTTACCGTCATGATAATCGAGGTTTTCAGCTAATACCGCATAAGACTACAAAGCAGAGTGATTGATATTCAGAGCTTGGGTCTCTCTAGGGATAAAATTTAATCAACGCGTGTATGGAAAACTCATCATGTATCGTAGCTAGAATGTAGAATGCGCGATAAGCCATTACATAAAAGTTCTCACATCAGAGTGACTGAGGAGCATCTTGGGGATCGCCACTTCGCTCCAAGGAAATACCCTGTCGAAATGGCTAGCGATTGCCCTAAGAACCCTGATTCTGTTGGTTGATCCGGACGGTAGGGTATCTTGTTGGAATGGCTCAATCATCAGCGAGGCTATCATGAAAGATCAAGCGAAGGCAGAGGATATCACAACGCAGGTCACGACAATTAATGTCGTGGTGAAACGGTTCCTGATCCGTCCAAGTACAAGTCGCTCACTGAGCTCGACCCACAGCACAAGAAAGGTCGGACGCTTCAGATTACAGAGACTCTATGGAAGACTTTATTTCATCAATTATATTAAGACTTATTAGCCCTGAAAAACTGTTGAGCCATCACCCTTAGATGTGAGGATCAAGGGATAGTATCCTTGTTTAGTTGCTATCTAGGAAGGTACTATTACACATCTGACAATCAACGATACCCTTGAAAAGTTGGTGGTCCAAGGTAATAAAATTATGCCAGCTCACAATTTAGTGACCGTGTGGAGACCAACCCACAGCAGACGTATTCTCCGCTGGCCTTGGGGCCAAAGATTATCTGAGCCTAGATTCCGTCAACATTTGGTTGAAAAAAGTAAGTTCAAAAATTGAATCAGTGTTCCTTGAATATTTCGAAAGGATTTTACATCTGCTGAGCTGTTATCACTTCTACATGCACGACTGGAGTGATTGTTCGCCCACTGAACAGAATTTCCATTAGCTTGGTCTCGGCCTTTCTTCGATTGCATATTGTGTGCTCATCACGTTCTAGCTGCAGTCCTAGAAATCAAATGGCAGCGCAAAAATACCACAAGGCAAAAATTTTTACGGGGCTTACCCTACGTTGGTTGGCTGAGCTGGTGTGCGGTCCCAGCTTTACATCTTGGTGGGACGGAGAATACGGCTCAGCCTTAGGCACCAGGCAAGACTGTTGGTGTGTGCTTACGTAAGGTCATCATCGTGATAGCCCCCACAGTAACCATCTTTCCTACAAAGATTTATGAGTTGCTCTGGTATTGTTGTTGCTTGGTTTTGTTCATCAACGTGATAGGTAGTTGATGTGACGAGTATGGAGGTGGGTCGCAGGTGAAGGATAGACTGAGAAATCCAACGTCGCAAATATATGAGGAGTTTGAGAGATGTCGGATGTTTGAATACAAGCCCCAGATAGACCCAGATCTATTCGTAAATCGTATTTTTGTGGTGACGAGTTTTTTTCGACTTTCTTGCAGTTGTGAAATCTGTGCCGACTGATTTATTACCAAAATACAACATATAACTTCTTCAGGCCGAAAATCCATCAAAAAAAATACATCCCACCCTCTTTCCTGACTTAATCTCGGCTCTAGGAGAATATTTCACGCCTAGGTTCGTAGAGGATACCACTGACAGGAGTTCAGCCTTCGTCCTCCTATAAGTAGCTCTGTGAGTGTGTGTTTACTGTCTTAATGAGTCTATGAACACGTAAGGACATGTGGGTCTTTTCTGCCCACGGGCCGAGACTATCTATGCCTCGGGTAGTTCACTCTCTTCGGAGGGCAAGCCTATACATCTGTACGTGGTGTTCTCTACGAACCTGGGAGTGAAAATTTATCCCAGAGCCAAGTTCAGTGAAATGTCCCAATACCAAAAAAGTTGGACCACGAGGCAATAATTCAAAATACTCTGCCATGTCAAATTTTCACTCTCAACGAGGTCGATTCCTACCTAAGTCTCATCAAGTTTACAAGTACAACCAAGTACATCTTTATTCCAATGACTACACCCCTCTTCGACTTTCTCTGGACTCAGTCGACCACCAAATACACGCACACGCCGATATTTATACCAGACGGAGGAAGCAAAGCGTGGCGCACAAGTCTGGGAGACAGTTCTTTGGGATGGATGTGAGAGGAATTAAGACAAGTTTTCAAGTCGACACAGAGGAAAGATACAATCTCGACGGGGGGAGATTTTGAATTTCGGCAGGTAGTTTCATGAATTGCGCTTTGTGTGTGTCAAGACTTCGGCTGCGAAAGCGCAGCTGACACTATAAATACAAGTCAACAATGAAAGGTGCCGTAGTCAGCCTCTTGGTGATGTTCTCTGGTATGGTTTGAGTAGCCTGTGCACCTACTCCACTTGGGAGTGAGACGCCTCAGACCATATTTCGTGCGGAGAAAAGTTAATGGATGACGGAGGCATTTCCAGATAACCCAGGGTTTCTGAGACTTTTCCCTGGGTAGGTCTTCACGGGTGGACTTGACTTGGGGCGAAGAAAAAACCACCATCACTTCGCAGTGGTATTGGCAAATGAAGTCCGAGGCATGAGTGATACTTTTGTAAATTGGTTCATCTATCGAGTACTTTTCTTTGATATTGTGTCATAGCTAGATAGCTACATACGCATTTAAAATCTGAGTCTTAAAAAGTACTCTCTCCCGTGCTTGCTTCACAACCTCTTTCTAGTAGTAATGACCCCATAGGTCTTCATTTGAGTACAAAACAAGGAGCCATTATTGTTATAATAACGAGGTCATGAGGGGACAGAGGAATACCTGAAATGGATGCAAATGATTATGGATGCGCGGATATAATTGATATGGCTAGAGTGAGAAGAAGCACTGGAATGAACAGTTGTGAGATGATTGTGTAACAAGCTGTCTGCGGATGTATTGCTTCCTTATATATACATTCAGTACCCCAGTCCTGATCACGCACTCACCACAGGTGCTTCCTACTTCTGTCACAGTAACCACTTCCATAGCCCCTGCCAATATCTCCTGTCATAACATACTGTTGACACTGGTTGCTAGTGTGGAACTCCCGGGATTGCATAGCTATACACCGTCGTCACATTATATGCTGTTGCCCCTCGGTAGCCATCAGAGTGATGTGCGCCTCAGTCTAAACGCATCGGTCCACCAGGCAACGCTCGGATGTAGGGATGTTGCCAGAGTGATTAGGTACTTAGCTGTGCTATCAGTGCCCTAATCTCATCTGGCTTACTGCGGCCGAGTGTCCGAGTGCCGCGATGGTGGGAGCCCGATGAGGCTCGATCGGAGCTGACCCGAGGTATTAACAACAATTATCCCGTCATCATCAAGGTTGCTCTATGATAGTGATCGCGTACAGCTACCGTGATTCTCATCCCCTTGCAAGCCTTAACACCTACATAAAATAACTCTCTGTAGATAGCATTGATAGAGAATCAAGAACCAAGTGACTGTTGGAATGAAACAACAATTGTATACTAATAAAGACTTAATGAAATTATTAAACACTTTTCCTAGCTTATATACCGTTGTTTCTTAATCTTTGAGCGACGGCTATTGTAGGTTTTCTTTGGGTAAATTAACAGATATGTTGAAATAGGTAGTTTCAGACCAAGTCGTAAGCATCACGTAAAGGTAGAGACGAGGATACTAGGCGAGCATCGTGAGACATTAGATTTTGTGATAGTCTGAGATTATCCTTTGGTATATAAGTTGCTACATAACGATCGGTCTACTGCACTAAAGTTTAACAGGTTATTACCACCAGTATGCGACACGATTAAGAATTTTGTATATGTAATTTAGTCCATAATTCAATTCATTGCTGAAACGAAGAGCAATTACGAATTCGAAGCCACTGAAACGAAGAGTGGAGGCAACGACTCAAGCTACTAAACCAGAAAAAGTAGTACTAATAATCTCACAATGGAATCAGGAGCCCCGATAAATTTTTACCCGGTTCTGAGGCGAGATAATCATGAGCAATGGCTTCGTAGAATGAAACTACGGTTAGAAGGAAAAGATATATTTTGTACGACTGAGACGTCTTTGGAAGCTTATACACGGACTAGGATGTTAT